TATTTACTTATATTAAATTCATATTTATAAATTATGGAATATTATTAATATAATATAATTTAACTTAATATAATCATTAGATGACAAACTACATTTACAAATTGTAAACCACAGCTAGTGAAGCTGATTTTACATTTATAAATTGCGAATCAAAAAGGTAAGGAAAGGACTTACCACCAGAACAACACCGACAGAAAGTTGGCCTTCACTCGCGGGTTCGGTTTCTGTTTTAAATTGCTCGAATCCATCTTCCATTAATGCGTGCCGCATCCACACACCGATCCTCCGACTGTCAGTTGACAACTATTCAAACTACTATTCGACTTTGCCGATCAGTAAAGAAGAAAGTATAATCACAGGTCGAGCATCCGCGTCGAAGTAAAAGTCGAGAAAGCAGAAATCTTGATTCTCACGGAACACGTTGTTATCACTCGAGTAGCTTATCTATCTGTAAGAGAGCCTTCTTAAACATTGGGCTAATCGTTGACTGATTGAGGTGATCACTTGAAAACTGACATGGCATAGATATAATGTAAGTACAACAAATAAATCTCTTCAACGATTTGTGAGATAGCGATCGCTGTGTCCGTAAAATGTCAATTGCGAAATGCTCGATCGATAGATAATCTTGATGACCACCCGAGTCCAACTCGGTTGATGTACCCGGAATTGAAGTTCGTACTTCGGTCACGCGTGGAACTGTCTCGTGGAAGAGAGTAAGGCACGACTGGAACGGACACCTGTATTTATACACAAAAAGAGATCATGTATCAGATCCGAAAACTTTCGTGCGCGGCAGCTTCTTCTATTTATCTCCAGATTTGCTTTGTCACAAGTCAAATAACGTAACGCAACAGTTGGTAGAATTTCGACACGATGTGTTACATATACAAACAGAGATACAACGTGTTATCCACGAGCGAATATTTGGCGAGTTTTCAGTCAAAAACAATTAACTGTGTCTTTCATACACATGAAACATCATTCGATTTTTTTGATACTAGTTTTTGATACTTAGTGGATTTTTAGTTTTTTTAGATCTAACTAATCTATAAAGTATTTGAATACATCTCAAAACCATTTGATTCGAGAATTATGAACCAAGGCATGCAGTGGATTTATCGATATCTATACTGAAAGATCACTGATACGTACATGTATAGTATAGACAGAGTGTTTTAATTTCTAAATTAAATGTCTAAACTAAATGTCATCTCTTTAGTTTCATAATTAATTAAGTTATTGCATTTTCAGGGCTTGAAGAAATATAACAGTTATTACATTAGTCCTCTATATGTTTTGGCTGGATGTCAGATACAAATAATAAAAAAATCAGATAATAAGTTACAAGTGAATAAAAATGAATGATGTGTCTTATTATGTGTTATTGCCTTAAATTCTTCGAATATCGAATAATTCAGCTGCAGGAATGGCTAATCTACCCTCCCATGGAATCTATTATTGGCCTTGTATCTTCTTGAATCTGCCTTATGCGTACTTCACACTGGTTAGTTCAATATAGTGGGAAACGTTCCTTATATCGGTTAAAAAGTACGACAGAAAAAAAAAAATAAAAAATTGTCGACTTTCACAATGTAACTACACTTGTTGATGATTAATTACTGGACTTTAGGTTATTATTTGAGACGTCTTATTTTAAAGGTGGCACAAGTGATGAAAAATGGCGTCCCTGCGAAATTATTGAGAGAAGTACAAGTATCCAAGATATCAAATGCAAACAAATCTTCCCGAAAGTTGGCATCTTCTAGGCATCTCCTAGTTAAAACTTAAACGTCTTGATTTAAACGCAGTGAAAGTTGTGCCACTTTCAAGATAAATGGCTCATTTTTAAAATTAGATTATTAAGAGCAGAGTTATCGAAGGCCAACAAATGCAAACAAGAATGTAAAAATCGATAAATTCGACCTCGACTTCGATTGTGATTTGATAACATTTATCTTTTAATGTTATTAATATATACTAATGTATACTAATGTGTAGTAATGTACAATAATACTATTGAATTAACAAAAGCGTTATATATATATAATATATATACAATTTTATATTTATTAAATAAATATATATAGTATATAATATATATACAATTTATAATATATGTATATAAACAATTATTTTATAAATATATATATAACAATTATTTTATACAAATATATAACAATTATTTTATAAATATATATATAACAATTATTTTATAAAATTATTTTTTAATTATTTTATTAACTATTAACCCATTACGTTTCGTTTGAAATTGTTTTATTCAATTCACGTTATTGATTTCTACTGACAATGAGTACGCATTAAAATTATGAAAGAATTCGTTCGATTTTTATTCCTCCTTCCATCCAGAGGTCCTGCATAATTTTGACGAATTTTCAAAACATCGAGACACTTCGTCTAGCTGTGATAAACTTGTACCTTTTTCAAATTCTGGCACGTCTTGTCGTTTAGTCTTTAATCAATGGGACCGAATGCATCATCTTATATTTATCTCTGTTCGTGAAGTACCCTAGAATTCTCTAAATGCGTTGTTTAATTGAAATTCATCGATCGTGTTACAGCGACGAGCTGATTTCTAACGAGTTGAGTAATTTGTTTACGCGTTCTTTTAGTTTCACGTTTTTTACTATCTTTAACTGTGCTCGAGCACAATTTCACTGAAATCGAAAAAAAAAAAAAAAACATAATGTTACTGTAAATACCGCGTATACGAGTATATCGTGCAAAAAGTTTGCGATCACTGTGAATTTAGAATATAACGCAGCGAGAACTGTATGTCAGAATTCCATGAATAACAATAACGATAACACGTCAATGTTATAAATATATAGTTGCTTCGATAATAAAAAGAAAAAAAACGAAACATAAAAAATTTGAAAAATAATCAGCGTGCATATTATCACAGTTTTATTTAAATTAAAAATTTATTTAAATTAAAAATTTATTTAAATTAAAAATAGAAATACTCCCTTTCAGACAAGTGACTTTTATTTGATTTGCTATAGAGCCTGCACGTGTACACGCATGTAGCCAAAACGCAGAGATAAAAATGGCGCCAGTCATTCTTTGTCATTCAGGATTCGACATAAATGTAATTCGGTGCACATGTGCAATCGAAACCATATCCTTGAGCTAACCGTGGACGAAATTGGTATGACGATTTCCGAATAAGTAATTTGAATAATGCCGATTATCATGTTGTCCATATTTATAGAAATAACAACTTGCATAAGAAATTGCATAAGAAATAATGAAATGCATGAGTAATACATCATGACAAAATGCATCATAATGCATAATATGCAATGTACATATTTCGTACTTACATATTTCATGATAATTAACAAGTGAAACAATGCTTCACCTAAGTCCCGGATCTGCAATCTAGTTACACGGCAGATGCACGGAAATGTAAAAGAATATATGCAGGACAGAAATAAGTCAAGCACAAATAAATCTTGTGTACGTATCAATTACGTATCTACAGAGTGTGAGGCACGGATATTCATCTTTGTTTCGTAATAAGTTATCAACCAAGCGGATAGAAATGTTTGTCATGATTGTTCAGCAGAAAAATCTATGGATTTACTATATCGTCTATGAGGATTGCTACTTGTAAGGCATGTGCAATTTTATTCAAGTATAAATAACATACATAGATATATAATTTCTTTTGTTTGTTTATTTGAATAATTATATTATGATTATAAGATAGTTTATAAGTCGTTGGTAAAGAAGGAATCTTTTTTATGCACGCACGTTCTGACTCAACTGCGGAAGTTTTCTACCAGGAAATATAATAAATCTGCAATAATTCATGCATTAATAATTGTACCATGACATTTATTGTCTCCCTGTCGCCTTATCAGTTCCATAAACTTCTTCAGATTTTACGTCGGCAACGTTTATCAGCACGGAATATGATCCTATAATTTCACGATGTGAAATGTACGACGCCACGTACATTTTACGTGAACTTCATTGTGGCAAAAATCTCGAGTTTCGTAAGTTGTCGCCATTGCAAAAAAAAAAAAAAAAAAAAAGAGAAAAAAACGAAGAGAAT